CGCGACATGATCCAGGATGCTCCTCGATGGTCCTCGCCGAAGGAAAGATGCACACGTCCGAGCGATGCCAGGCCTAAGACTCCCCCCCCCTCCCCCCTGCCCCCCCCCCGCCTGCGCGCGGCCGAGCTGCGGCGGGGCGCCGAGGGGCGGCCTCTGGGCCCCGGCAGGCCCCGGAGGCTGCGGAGCACCCGCCGCTCGGGCGCGCCTCGGCCGCCGTGTGCCGCCCGCCGCGGGGACGGCCGCCCGCTGGCGCGGCCGCCGCGGGCGACCGCCTCGCGCCGTTCTCTTGCTGCTGTCTTCGCTGCTGCTGCTGCTGCTGTGAATTGCTCGCTTCGTAACAAAAAATACGGCTGAGATCCCCTGCCCGATGACCATTGCATGTTTCAGCTAAAGAGCTTACTTCACCCAGGGCTCGGACTGTCCTGTACGTAAAAAAAGAAGGCTCACCAAACAGCGCTGTTGGACCCCGAAATACAAAACCAACGGCTCACGCCTGATATTTCCTCACAGTGTATTCTCACACCGCGCTTTCGCGTGGGACTTCCGCACGATGCACCGATCTACACCGGAATCGCGCTCTCGCGCTGGAGTTCCCCGCGCCCTATTCAGACGTCGCGCCTTCGACACTCAGGACTCACGCTCTTGCTTTGGCCTTTGCTTACGATTTGCCAGGGAATCAGCGCATGCAGTGCTCACGCTGCAGCAGCACGCCTCCTCGGCGACGCCTGGGCCTGCCTTCCCGGCCGGCCCGTGAGGGTCTTACCCGCCCGAGGGGCCCGTCTGGTTCTGCTACGTGCTTCCTGCTCCTAGCCTTAAGTCGGGCCTGTCCCCCAACAGGGGGATTTTGGGAAATTAAGAATACTCCAAAAATGCCACCCTAATTCTCAAACATATGTAAACAATTGTCCCCCGACTATGTTTGGTCTATTTTTGAATTTTCCTCCTGTAGAGGGACAGGCCCGGCTTAATCCTAGCCCGCCTCCTGCGAATCCCATGTTCCATCCTTCTGCCTCCCCAGTCCATCCGTCCTCTGGGCTGCAGCAGTTACGCGCGACAGGTCAAGAGGATACGCCTCCAGAGGGGGCACGATTACAGTCGAAGAGGGCGAGCACCGATGGTTTGGGATGTAGGTGTTGAAAACGGCACGCGAGCAGGCAAGAACGATCAATGTTAAACTGATTGTTGTTGTGGTTGTGGTTGTGGCTGTGGCTGTGGTTGTGGTTCTTGTTGTGGTTGTTAATGTTGCTGTTGTTGTTGTTGTTGTTGTTGAATTCTCACTTCTGAAGAATAGTTATTGCTGCCCCCCCCCCACCGGTGCATACTGTTTTGTCTCAATCAAAATGTGCCCCTCGACGCTCGCACCCTGTTTTGTTTTATCCGGAGAAATCTTGAAGCTCAAACTGGGCCCCTGGCCCCCGGGTTACTACAACAACGGCTCCCGACTGAGATTTCCTTACAATTTAGCCCGGACCCCCGCTCCCGCCCGAGATTTCCTCGCATTTTATTCAGGAATCGAGCTTTCGCTTGGGACTTCCATGCAAATTATTCAAGAATCGTTCTCCTGGCGCTCTGGAGTCGCGCTCTCGCCGGAGACTTGCTTGCAACTTACTGAAGAATAGCGCCCTCGCTTTGTTTCGTGGCCACGTTGCAACCCTTCGTGGCCCCCTCGCTGTCCTTCGTGGCCCCGTCGCATGCCCTTCGTGGCCCCGTTGCAGCCCTTCGTGGCCCCCATCGCTGCCTTTCGTGGCCCCGTTGCATCCCTTCGTGGCCCCCTCGCTGCCCTTCGTGGCCCCTACATATGCATGCCCTTCGTGGCCCCCGCTCGTTCGCGTCCGTGGTGGCCCCATATGCATGCCCTTCGTGGCCCCGCTGTCGCCCTTCGTGGCCCCCTCGCTGCCCTTCGTGGCCCCGTTGCTGCCCTCAGTGGCCCCATCCTTGCCCTCCGCGGCCCAGTATACATATGCCCTTCGTGGCCCCCGCTCGTTCGCGCCCGTTGTGGCCTCATGTGCATGCCCTTCGTGGCCCCGCTGTCGCCGTTTGTGGCCTTCTCCCTGTCCTACGTGGCCCAGTTGCTACCCTCAGTGGCCCCATCGTTGCCTTTTGTGGCCCCGCATTATCTGCCCTTCGTGGCCCCCGCTGGTTCGCGCTCTTCGTGGCCCCATACGCATTCCTTTCGTGTCCCCGCTGTCGCCCTTCGTGGCCTACTTCGTGTCCTTGTGGCCCTGCTGTCGTTCTCTCTCGCTGTCGCTTTCGCTCGTCGTCGTCGCCGTCGTCGTCGCCGTCGTCGGCGTCGTGATCGGTCCCCTGTCCGTCCCTCTTGGGGTCGGGTCGACGGTCCGCGGCCGCCCCGCCGATCAGCGCTGTCGCTGGCCAGGCCGACGGTCCGCGGCCGCCCCACCGCTTGCTGGGACCTGGCCTGCAGGGAAGAAAGGCATACCCCCCAAAAGGGGTTCGATCGAAGGCGAAGAGGGCGGGTATCGAGGGTTTGGGAAATTACGCGCGATTGCACACTCGAGCAGATCAGGGCGAACAGTTTTAAAATGATTGTTGTTTCATTTCTAAAAGAATAAGTATTGCTGATCTCCGGAAGCGTTCCGCGCGCTCTCGCCTCGACGCCGGCTACATTTTCTTTGAAAACGAGGCTCCCGCTCGAGCGTTGGCTTGATCCTAAATGACGGCCCTTGGATGCCCAGCTACGACAACAACGGTTCCCGCTCGATACTTCCTCACAATTTACCCCGAGACACTCTGGCCAGAGAGGCCCCCGAACTCAGGAACGGCGCTCTCGCTCGAGACTTCTTCACAATGGACTTAAATTGGCGGAGGCCCAGCCACGACGACAAGGGCTCCTGCTCGATACTTCCTCCCGGTTTACTCCGAACCCCTGGCCAAAAAGGCCCCCGAACTCAAGAATGGCGCCTTCGCTCGAGACTTTCCCGCAATTCAGCCAAGTTGGTGGAGGCCCGGACACAGCGACAAGGGCTCCCGTTCGATATTTCTCCATAGGTATTCCGAGAGCACCTGGCCAGAGCGGCCCTCGAACTCAGGAGCGGCGCTCACGCTCAAGACTTCCTCGCACTTCACTCAGTGGCCGACAAGGAAGATTCCCCCGAAAGGGGGTGCAATCGAAGACGAAGTGGGCGGGTATCGAAGGTCGGGGTATAAGAATGCAAGACACACGTGCCAGTAAGAGCGGACAGTCTTGAAATGATTGTTGTTGTCGCGCTGTGTTTTTCAACGTAAAACTGAATGTCACCGAACTAAACCTCTGGCCCCTGGTTTACAACAACACCGGCTCCCGCTGGATAGTTCCTCGCAGAGTATTCCCAAATTGCGCTCTCGCGCGGGACATCCTCAACATGTATACCAGAATCGCGCTCTCGCGTGGGACTTCCTCGCAGATTTTACTCGGACGCCTCGCTTTCGACACTCAAAAATCAGGATCCCGTTTGGGCCTTTCTCGCGATTTACTGGGGGATCGCGCTATCGCTCGAAACTTCCTTGCGATTCGTGCAGGACGCAAGCTTCAGCAACCCGCCTGTTCAACCTGGCCGCCTTGGTCCGCCTTCCCGATCCGCCAGTGAAGGCCTGCCCGCTCGATCTGCCCGTCTCGTTCTGCCACCTGCTTTTTGCTCTTTGCCCCCCTCCTGCTACTGTCTCTCGTGCTCCATCTTCCTCCCCCCCCTTCGTCCCTTCCTTCCATCCGGCCTCTCTTCCCCTGCCTTAAGGGCTGCGCGACATGCGCGTTGCAGGTAAGAGAAATACACCTCCAAGTGGGGCACGATCGAAGGAAGCGCGGACATCTAGGGTTTGGGATATACAGATTGAACGGCACGCGAGCAGGCAAGATCAAAGAGTCTTAAAATGATGGTTGTTGTTGATCTTGTTGTCTTTGCGGCTTCTTTGGTCGGATTACAGGTCCAGGCTGCCAGGGCCGCACTCTGGGACCAAAATTGTGCTGCCGCTGCAGCGCTGGCCTCATTTTAGGATCGGCGCTTCGCTCACGTCGTTCAGAATGGCGGTCTCGCCCTAGCGCGAGCCACTGTTCTGAATACGAATCCCTTCCTCATTAATGTCGCCCCCCTTCTTTCCCCTCATCCACCTTCCCTTGGTCCTCCTGCTGCTCCCGCTCATTCCGCTCCAATTCCCGCTGCTGGTGTTCGTCCTCGTCCTCCTTTTTCATCTTCCGCCCATCCTGCTCATCCTCCTGCTCATCCTCCTCCTCCTACTCTTCCTCCTCATCCTACGCACGCAATTTCGACTTTCCGATTGCGAATAACCCGATGGGGTCTTTTTGGGAGTTCGAAAACCGCCATGACCCGCGTCCGCGGAAAGAGAGACAGTATCGCGCAATGGGAAGGGATGGGCGGGAGAGGCAGGATGCCAGGTACGCCGCGAGCGCACCCGGTTTGACTCCCGTCCACCCTTTCCTGCTGGGCAAATTCTGCACCACCACCGCTACCACATGTAGGACGGGGGAGGAGGGAAGATGAGGAGGTCCTCCTCCTCCTCCTCCTCCTCCTCCTCCTCCTCCTCCTCCTCCTCCCCCCCCCTCTCCTACATGTGGCAGTGGTGGTGGAACATGGGCCCATCATCTCCCCCTCTCCCCCGCCCCCTGCCTGCCCGCCCTGCCCCGTCCTTGCCGGGGCGCTCCAGAGATCGGCGCCTCGCCTCGGGCACAAACCAGACGAGCGCTCGGACCGCTGGCGGAACACACAGAACCCGGGGGGGGCGGGCCCCGCCGGCGGAAGGGCCGGAGGAAGTAAGAGCGAGGCATCCCCATGTCTTGACTCGGGGCCTCCTGGAGTCGGACATTCTCTCCTCCTCCTCCTCGCTCCCCTCCTCCTCCTCCTCCTCCTCCTCCTCCTCCTCCTCCTCCTCCTCCTCCGCTCCCTCCTGCCTCCTCCTCCTCCTCCTTCCCCCCTTCTCCCCCTCCTCTTCCCTCCTCCTCCTCCTCCTCTTCCTCCTCCTCCTCCTCCTCCTCCTCCTCCGCGGCGGTCCTCCAGGTACGAGCCCCACTTGGCCTCGCCCGTCAGATTCGTGACGTCCCTGAAGCGGAAGCCCTCGTGCAGCACGCACCTGCGGACCCAGCTCGAACGCCGTGCTCGCAGAAAGGTGGCCACAACCGCCCAAAGCAGCGAGGCAAGCATAGTTCTCGTGGCTCAGGGGGCCCGCCCAATGGCGGCACAATGACTCATGCTGGGGCTTTACGGCCGAGTTCGACGAACCGGGCTTGGGGCCTCGGTATCTCGAACTGTGCTCGAGCAGGGGGAAGTGCGGTGCGATCTGCTGATGGGTCGCCAGCAGCGAGGCACGGGAGAGGAAGGATGAGAAGGACAAGGGGGGGTGGCAGTGGATCCCTCCCAGGGGAGGCCGACGAGTCCTGCTGCTGAGGGGAGGGCTTGGGGGTTGGCTCTAGATGTCCCGCGTTCTCCCTGTTGGACTGTCGGAGAAGAAGCGCGCAACGTGCGCCTGCGCTTCGGCCGGCCGACCGCGGGGGGAGGGGAGGGGGAAAGGGGATGGGGAATCTGGGGAGAGGAAGGAGGAGGAGAAGAGGATGGAGGAGGAGGAGGTCAAGGAGGATGAGGAAGGAGGAGGAAGGACCAGTGCAAGCCCAAGACAATCAACGATGTCGGAAGGCACCCTCCCTCCAAGCTCCCTCTTCGTAGGCCCCTTACACACATTCGTTTCCACTGAGGGAAGTGCCCCGTCGGGGGACAACCGTGTGAAAATTCGGAAGCGTGCCAAAGCACCATTCTAAGGACTTCAACACCACGAGTCAACTATACTGCTGCGTCTTGACGATCCTGAATTGTGCCATGACGCCATTCCTGGGACTCGAACCGCGAATCAATGCAACTGTTTCACCCTGGCAATCCTGAGCCGTTCCCATGCACCATTCCTGGTTCGTTAACCATGAGAATCAATGAAACTGTTGTTCGTAGATGTTTGAAACGAATGTGCGCGGCGCTAAAGCGAGCGTCACACTTAAAAAGAACCGCCCCAATCCTCAAACTCTTGCAACTTCTTGTAAACAATTAACGTGTGCGGCGCTAAGAATAGAGCCACATTTTGAAAACGGCTCGCCCTCAATCCGTGAACCTCGTGCATTGTTGCAGCAAGTGCGCGCGGCGCTACAACGAGAACCACAATTTGAAAACGATCCACCGTCAATCCGTGAAACTCTTGCAAACTTATAAAACGAAAGTGGGCTGCGCTGAGGCGAGAACCACAATTTGAAAACAACCCGCCCTCAATCCTTGAAATTCTGCCAAAATCTTAAGGCGAGTGCGTGCTGCGCTAAAGCGAATGCCACATTTTGGAAGCGATTCGGCATGCATCTGTGAAACTGTTGTCAGCTCTTTAAGCTTCGAAGTCTCAGGCGAAACGCCCAGCCCGCCCTTCCGACCGGCCTCGGGGTGCGACAGGGAGGAGTTGTTAGGAAAAGGAATGGAGGAGGACGACGACGAGGAGCAAGAGTTTTATCGGGCGCCCGAGTTATCCGGGGTAACTCGGGTCCGGGGTAACTCTGGTTTGGATTCCCGAAAAAAGGAACCCGAGTTAGCCCTGACCCGAGTTACCCCTGATGATTCGGGGCTCTGGACGCCCGAGTTATCCGGGGTAACTCGGGTCCGGGGTAACTCGGGTTTGGATTCCCGAAAAGCGAACCCGAGTTATCCCTGACCCGAGTTACCCCTGATGATTCGGGGCTCTGATTTTACTCGCCGGTGTCAAGCCGCCGTCGTCCTTCAGCCTGGAGCGCCCGCGCTCGCGTCGCTGTGGCTCAGCGCGCCAGCGCGGCGCGGTACGGCCGAGCCGCGCGGCGACCCGCGAGTGCAACAGGACGGCCCCGCACGGTCAAGACGAGAAACTCGCGCCCAGCGAGGTCTACAATACGCGGGGTGCTCTCCGTGCACCCGGGCAGTCGCCCCGGTTTCAAAGTGTCTAATGTTAGGCCAGGCATCCCTGCATCTCTTCCTCCTCCTCCGCATCCTGCTCCTCCTCCTCCTCCCCCCCTCCTCCCCCTCCTCCTCCTCCTCCTCCTCCTCGTCGTTCTCCTCGTCGTCCTCCTCCTCCTCCTCTTCCTCCTCCTCTTCCTCCTCCTCCTCCTCCTCCTCCTCCTGGCCGTGTTGAGGTCATCTTGGGCCCTCTTTGAGCACTATCGGGCTGTCTTGGGGCCCTATTGGGCCTCCCCGAGGCCGTCGCAGATGTAACTTGGGCGCTCTTGGGGCTGTCTTGGGCCGTCTTGGGGCCCTCTTAGGCGCTCTTGGGGCTGACTTGGGCCATCTATTGCCGAACAGGACCGACAATTGGGCGATCAGATCTGAGTCTGGCGAAGCAATCCCTCTCACACTTCCCCTGGTTATTTCCCCCAACTAATCGCGACACTACGCGCGCTTTCCGTCATCCGCCACCCCCTGTTGTCTTGCAACAGGGGTGCACGGCGTGCCAAATGTCTGGCATTTTTTTGATTCTAGTCCACAGAACTCCCAATGGGGTCTCGGCACAGCCCGCCGACCACCCGGATCTGGGTCATCGGATTTCGGCTCCTTAATGGCTCCAAGACGGCAAAGATGGCCTCCAAGATGGTCCCGAGACGCCTCCAAGATGGCCAAGATGGTCCCAAGAAAGTCCAAGATAGGATCCACAGGAAGGCCCGAAGAAACCACCATCTAATTTGTTCCTCTGTCTTTTGACGGATTGTGGCACTTGCTTCAAAAAACTGCCTTCGACGGCCCAAGACGGCCCCCACATATTGCCCCAAGATCGCACAAGAGGCGTCCAAGATGGCCACAGGACGGCCCAAGAGGCCCCCCAAGGGCCCCAAGACGGCTCAAAAGGCCTCCAAGATGCCCAACATGGCCTTCAAGACAACCCTGAAGCGCCTCAAGCGGGCCCGAATACGGTCCAGAACGGCTCCCAAAACGGCTTCCGATGGCGTAAGGCGGGTCAGGAATGCCGCAAGACGGCCGAAGAGGCCCCCAGGAAGCCCCAAAAAGCTCCCAAGAAGCCCCAAGGAGGCCTCCAAGAGGCCTCCCGGAAGCTCCCAGGAGGCCCCACGAATGCCCCAAGAAGTCCCCAAGAGTCTCCTCATCCTCCATTTTCCTCCTTCTCGTCATCCTGCTCTTCCTCCGCCACATGTTCCCCGAAGGGGTTCCACAATGGCTGGGGGATCGCATGGTCCAATAGCGTGGCCAAACTTTGCCCAAACGTTTGAACACATAGGCGTATCCTCAAAGGCAAGGGGCGGCGGTGATTCGCCGTATGCTGGCTGGGGGCCTACAGTCTTGAGCGAGTCTGGAGAGGCAGTTCCTCCTGTCTCGAGGGTTGCGCTGTCCCCCGCACCTCCATACCTCCCGGGCGGGATAATTCGGAGCGCTCCCTTCGTGCGGACTCAGCCTCGAAGGCGAGTCTTGGGTCAACCCTGACTGCCCAAATGTGGTGAAGGCAGCCGACGCACCCCGTGCGGTCCATCTCTCCCAGAGGAGGCCCTGCGCGGGTATGGTGCTCAATTGTGGCAACCCGCTCTGGATCAGTACCCAGAGGGTGAGTGCATACCGAGCTGACGGTGCCCAGATGCCAGCAATCGAACATTTCAAGAATACGGGTAATGATCTTACACGTGTTGCCGCGAACGAGGGAACCCTTCTTCATCCAGGTCCCAACCGCATCGACCGGGATCGGGTCGACCTGCTAGTTTCGGTCAGCCGCACGGTGTGCCGTCTCGCGGCGGCGCTTCTGCTGCTTTAGCTCAAGCCCGATCTCAGTGGCGTACGGTTGCCTGCCGCCAGCGTTCCACGACCGCCGAAGCCCCTCTGGTGTCGTTCATCAGTGGGCTCGTCTTCGGGCGCGTGCTCGGACGGATCCTCTCTGTTCGTGCGCGCGGAGTTCAAGCACGGCGCGGCGCTCGGACACAGAGTCGAACCGACTCTTCTCTCCTCATTCTTATGCTCCTCCTCTTCCACCTCCTCTGCCTGTCTCAGCATGCGTGCCTTCGGACAGGCATCGGCGGATCGATAGTGAGATCGACAGTGAGATCGATAGTGATATCGATTGTGAGATTGATCGAATGAGATCGATCGAGTGAGATCGATCGTGCAATCGATCGTGCAATCGATAGTGAGATCGATCGAGTGCGCTTTCGCCGGCTTTCCAGCCGTTCGCCCTGTTTCGGCTAGCGGTGCCCTCGCATGTCGGCGCAAGCTCGAAAGAGCAAGGAAAAAATAGTTTCGATGGCGGTGCGTCGTTCTCGACCGCCGAAGGTCCGCCGTTGAGCAATATTTCGAGGCGATTTAAGCCGTGGCGACGAGCGGGGCTTCAGGAGGCCTCAAACAAAAAACCGTCGTCGTCGTTCGCCGCAGTTTGGCAGTTTCCCGGGGGAAGGGGATGGTACCAAGGCGCCCAATAGCGAAGGGTGACGTAAACAACTCGACACCAAAGCTCCCAAGAGCGAGCGGCAACGCAATAATCTCCACTGGCATCGTCAGAACAACACTCACCACTGTTGCCCATTGCTGGGCCCCTTCCCCCCCAACCTCCTTATCACCCGCAGGGTGGTCGTATAGGTAGGACTATACGGTTCACATAGGAGCTGCCCACTCAGAACATAATTTATGCCGATGGGTTATCCTTCGGTTGGTTTCCCAGGAAGCCATGTGCTTCCCGCAAGGGCACACCGCTGGCACTCCTGAATTTCTGAGGATGGCGTGCAATCGAAATCAAGTGCGGAAGGCCTTCCAGAGCTTACATTCCAGAGGGGCGCCCCTTGGTCAACAAGGGTATAGTCCGTCCAGCCGGGGTATAGCCCATCCATCTGGGGTATAGACTATTGCCCTGGTCCCAGCACCCCTCGCCCCAGGGCCGCCTGGGTCCTGGTACCCCCTGGTCCAAGCAAAGAGCCGTCTTTGACCGTCGTTCGTCCTTCGTCGTTCGCCTCCCTTCTGCCGTGGCGTGGCCCATGGGTCCCTGCCAGCCCTCTGGCCCCAGCCCTCCCCCAGCGCCCTGACCTTCAGGGCCCCTATTGGGCCCTGCCCCCCTCGCGGTGGCCTTGCCTGTTGACGCTCGCCGCGCACTCGTGC